TTGTATCATTTTCCTGTTACAGACCACTTGCGCTGACTGGCTATGTTACACTATTTTGTATGCTGCAGTTCTGATCTCATCAATTAGAAGTCTTTGATTCTGTTTAAATGTGAAGTGGGGGAATGAAATAGTTCACCAATCATTGCAAAGTACGGGAGAAGGACTTAAACCAGGAAAACCAAAACGTTACCAACGGAACAGACAAGTGCTCTAACCAGAGACCAAATCACCACCGCTGTTGAGCACAAGACCCCTCTACTGTTCGGAGATCCCTTCTTCCACCCTAGAAGCGGCTCTGCTTCCTTCAGCCCGATGCTCATGGCTGGGGAGCACCTCGTAAGTTTAACTAACTGCTTGATTCTTAATCAATGCAAGAAAAGCCAGCTTGGAGGCCTGTTAGCTTTTGTGTGCTCCTCAAATTCACCACAAATGGTTCTTGTCAGAATCAAGCCTCCCGGAGTTCTCCGTGGGCAAACTGTCCCAAGGGAGGCTGGATCACAGTGGCTGGAAGCCCTCTCTGCTCACAAGCAGCTTCCCAGAGCGGCTTTGATCTGTGGACCCTGATTATTTCAAATGCCAGTAATTTTATCAAGTACACACATCAAGTAGTTTTATCCCTTGCGTTTAACGTGGCTGACGGTATCTGGCTAGATCACCATCTCCACGAGCAGAGACAGCAAGTGCACCTGCTGTCCGAGCTTGTGGGGACGGCGTGGGGTCTGGCCTGGTGTCGAGGGATGAGGGGGCCTCTCGCTCACACCCCAGTGGGCGGAGCACCCCGTTCCCGCCTCTCGCTCACACCCCAGCGGACAGAGCACCCCGTTCCCTCCCCTCGCTCACACCCCAGCGGGCAGAGCACCCCGTTCCCTCTCGCTCACACCCCAGCGGGCAGAGCACCCTGTTCCCTCTCGCTCACACCCCAGCGGGCGGAGCACCCCGTTCCCATCTCTCGCTCACACCCCAGCGGGTGGAGCACCCCGTTCCCATCTCTCGCTCACACCCCAGCGGGTGGAGCACCCCGTTCCCATCTCTCGCTCACACCCCAGCGGGGGGAGCACCCCGTTCCCGCCCCTCGCTCACACCCCAGCGGGTGGAGCACTCCCTTCCCTTCTTCGGCCTGTTGGCCCCAGCCCCGCCACATAAGCCCGGCCTGGTTGGATCCTTCTGGGTTTTTCTGTTTTGCTCCATCTGTCCATTTCTTGCACAGAGACAGCAGAGAGACAACAGCACGTATCCGAGCCTCTCCTGCCTCCTGTCCTCTGCTCAGGAAGCCTGGGCTTAGGGCTTTGGTTCACAAACCTTGCATGTTATACCCAGCTTCAGGAGCTCCAGCACAGCCCGACTCGTCACCCCAGGGCCTGCCGCCTCCCCCGCAGTGTGCTCCAAAGATGTCGTGCACAGGATGGAGCTCTCCACCGGCCATGGCCCTGTTTGCAGGCGCGTGGGGCTCTCAGGGGTCCGTGGGCCAGAGGGGTCTTCTGTCCTCTCATGGAGTCGGGATCGGGTGTCCCAGCTCGAGCCCCCACTCTCTGCGTGCTGCGTTCTGCTCCCCACCCCCGCCTTCCAGCCTGTGTATTACCCGCATCGGGCTCTAGCCAGGATGCCTCAGCTCTCCTTCAGCTAAGAGAGAGCCTGGCCCCCAGGTCTGGCCACTGCTGGCCAGGAGGGCCCCGGGACCCGAGGGCCGCTTTCCCAGCTGGTAGGAGCTGGGTTGTGTTAGCACAGCTGCTGCCGCCAGGTGCGTACCTGTTTCCCCCACACCCTGGGAGGACTGGACGGGGTGCCGGGCCCTCGCCCTGCCCTGACAGCCCTCCAGCCGCGCTGAGGGCCGGCGCGCTGGCCTGGCCGAGCCACCAGGGTCAGTTTGATGCAGACCGACTATCTAACCTTGGAAAACGTGAACTTGTGTCACCAAAGGCTGGCTGGGTGCTTTCGCTTCATCTGACGGTTATCATGAATACACAGGACGCAACTCCTCTGTCTCACCAGACGGGCTTTAAAACTCAGCGGTAGAGTCCAGCCGTACGTAGGCAACGAAATCACTCAGAAGAAGGCTATGAGCCCAAGGTTACAGCACTGTGGGGAGCATACAGGAAAAGAAAGTTCCATGTCCCAAAGAGGAGCAAACAGGCTAGAAGAAGGTGTGGCGCCCTCCCTCTCAGAGGGGAGTCCACCCCGCGCGCACCCCGCGCCCCGCGCACAGCACACTTCAAGTTCCACCAATCCCGAGCCTCACTTATGGAACACGTCCTCCCTCCCCCGCCACGCCAGCCACAGGCTTTTGCGGCCGACTCCCTAAGGAGGTGTCTCACGTTGAGTCCTGGTCTGCCTGAGATGAGGCCGTGTGCACCGAGGTCCATCAGGGCTCGCAGGCTGGTTCTGCGGAGTGCGGACTTTCCAAGCTGCAGGATTTCCTCAGCAGTCATGACTGAGCAAGGTCTTCTGCAGTAGAGGGTCGTGGCTTCCACTGCACCAGGGCTGAGGTCCTGGCAGCCAGAGGAGAGCTCCCAAGGCTCAGGGGAGCCGCGGAACGGGCGCGGCCCCAGGCCGGTGGCCAAAAGCCTGGCTGCTCAGCCGGTGGTGCTCCGCCTGAGCCAGGCGTCCAACGGCGGGAGCTTCCTGCTCCTGACAATTTTGCTCCTTTGTGGAATAAAGTGCATCAAAAGTAGCCCAAAACTTACTAAAGTTTAGGCCTATTGAAAGGCCCTGAGAGCATGCTGGGTTCTCTGATCTGCCTCACGTGACCCCCGTGAGGGACTTCAGCAACAGCAAAGACCTGAACGTGTCACGGGCTGGCGGAATTTTCAAACCCTTTTCGAGTAAGTGAAGATTCTTCCTTATTGTTCTATTCTCCGCTGCCTCCTGTGCCCCGGCTAGCGGAAACAGTGCAGACAGACAAGTGACAATCAACTGTTTTACACAGGAGACCTTTGGGGGACCTCATGGGCAGCCATCCAGTTCTCTCCTAGTCTGTGCCATAGCTGCTGGGAAGGACAGAGAAGATCCTGGTTGGCGAAGAGTGTGTCTGAGGGCGGGGCTCTCACTCTGGGACACCAGCAGCTCAGCACCGGAGAGCTCTCCGATGGACCTGCAGAGAAGAAGGGACCCAGCCACGCTCACCCCGCCACACCCAACTCTTCCTAGAGTCCACACCCCAAGCCCAGGGCATCAGAACGTTGAATGCAAAGGCGCAACAGTTGGCCACGCGCTCAGGGCCTGTCTGGGGCTCAAGGATGGGCTTGCCCTTGGACCACAAGGGCTTAGACAAGCCTGGTGCTGAGCCGCCAGCCCAGCTGCTGGCTCACGGTGCTCTGACCTCCTGCTTTCCAGGAGCAGCCAGAAGGATATGGCAAGGTTGAGAAAGAACTACATTGTAGGAAAATCAGAGTCATTTAAATTCTCAAGATCAAGAGTAACAACAAAACACCAGCTACAGTGGTACAGATGCAGGGGTTCTGCAGTTTTCTTATGGAGAGGAGGGCATGCCTGCAACCGTACCAGCAGAGAGTGCGGCGTACAGCCATGTGTGTGGAGGGGGCCGCGTACCACGCCTGTGTGGAGGGCGCCGCGTACAGCCATGTGTGTGGAGGGGGCCGCGTACCACGCCTGTGTGGAGGGCGCCGCGTACATCCCGGGGGCAGCTCTCACGCTCACCCTCCGGGTGGCAGAGCACAGAGCAGGCGAGCTCGCAGAGCACCACCGCCCAGGCCTGTGTCCCTGCAGCCCGGAGAGGAGGTCCCTGCAGAGCAGTGGAGGAGAGGATTGTCACACTCTCGCTCAGACACAACAGCACCTTCCTAAACACACCTATCAACACCATTTCAAAATCACCTTTAAACAACTTCAGACTCAGGAGCAGGCAGGGGTGGCTCCTGATTTGGAAAAATGCACCTCCAGGTAAATCTCCCGTACAAGGTCACGTCCTCAGCGTTGCCTCCAAGGCCCCGCTCTTCGAGTGTCCAGCTGGAAACAGATTCGGTTCCGTGCACCGCAGGCGATGACTGGACCCCAAGGAAAACCTCGGCTCCAGGCCCAGCCAGCAGGGCCATAGAGGCGTCTGCCTGTTTTCTGGCTGTTAAAAATGTGCGGTGATTTTGGAGAGACTTTGCAATGTTCTGTTAAAATCCAAAGCCATAACATGAGATAGGAAATGGCCATTACTGGAGAAAGGGGAGGATGTAGATATATGGGTATAAACATGAATTATGTACTTACATAAATATAAATACCCACTACTAGAGGGGAATTGGGAGAAAACTGGAAATTAGTGACAGATGCCATCTTTGCACAGATTACGATATACTTAAGTTTTTTTTAACTTAAATTGAAAAGTGCAGCCAGTAAACAAACACGGGTAGGCCCCGAGTGTTAGTGCTGTAGAAATCCAACCTCACGTGGTAACAGAGAGTTAAAACCCTGGGAGGGTTTTTAATTAGATTTCTGTATTTCAAACCCCAGCCTGTAATATAGGCTTTATGAGGAGAGATGTGTAATCATTTCGACATTAAGTTTGGGGTGGACAGACCGGCTTCAATCGCTTCCTTCATCAGACATCTTCATGGTTCACACCGCACTGTGCCCAGCCGGGAGATGATATCCCCAGCTGACCAGGCAACGAGCTACTGACCAGGAAATTGAACTGTTCTCACACAGGAAATCACCGCACTCTGTCAAAATCTACAGGAGGAACATGTGTTCAGCTTTTCTGTTAATGCTCAACATATCTGATCAGAAGGAGAGGAGCGAAATTACAGGAGCCGTGGCCACAGCAGCTGGGCGGGCCTGTGCGTGCGCGGTCCCCAGCCTGGGCAAGCCAGGCTAGCGCTCCGTCCAGCATGGGCCCGAGGAGGACGCCATCCACACCGGCCCGACGGACCTCAGAGTTCTAACAGCAATGATTGATCATTAACAATCAGAACAAAGGAAGAGCTCCAGATACCATGAGCCCAAAGGCTGTGCAGTGAACTGCTGAAGTCACCAAACACAAGTTAGACGAGAGCATGTCTGATGGCAGCGGCTATTCTCTGGGGGGTGGCGTGTCTGATGGCAGCGGCTATTCTCTGGGGTGTGGTATGTGGTGTACAGTCGATTACAGTCATGGAATACATTAGTTAGTGGATGACTCGCTGTGGGCTGTGTGTTCGCAGGGCTCCGTGTCGTGTTCGCGCATCCCTGCTCGCCAGCCAGGTGAGCAGACTCAGAGCTCAGAGGTGTTCCGAGGTCCTGCCTGAGGCGCTGTCTGCACCCCGTTGCAGCCAGGGCTGCTCATTCTCCGCCGCTCTCTGGGGAGGAAAGAGCTGGAATCCACCGGCGCTTGGGCCAGCCCGAAGTGACAGTACGAAGACAGGGGTGGGGTTTCCCACTGAGCACTCAAGCAGCCTGGACCACACCCCTGCACGGCGCGGGCCCTCAGACCCCCCCTCGCCCCTGTACTGCACATGCTCAGAACCCCCCCTGCACTGCACATGCTCAGACACCCCCCCTGCACTGCACATGCTCAGACCCCCCCTGCACTGCACATGCTCAGACACCCCCCCCTGCACTGCACATGCTCAGACCCCCCCTGCACTGCACATGCTCAGACCCCCCCTGCACTGCACATGCTCAGACCCCACCCCTGCACTGCACATGCCCTCAGACCCCGCCCCTGCACTGCACATGCTCAGACCCCGCCTGCACTGCACATGCTCAGACCCCACCCCTGCACTGCACATGCTCAGACCCCCCCCCCCTGCACTGCACATGCTCAGACCCCCCCCTGCACTGCACATGCTCAGTCCCCACCCCTGCACTGCACATGCCCTCAGACCCCCCCCTGCACTGCACATGCTCAGACCCCACCCCTGCACTGCACATGCTCAGACCCCACCCCTGCACTGCACATGCTCAGACCCCCCCCTGCACTGCACATGCTCAGACCCCACCCCTGCACTGCACATGCTCAGACCCCCCCTCGCTCCTGCACATGCTCAGACCCCCCCCTGCACTGCACATGCTCAGACCCCTCCCCTGCACTGCACATGCTCAGACCCCCCCTGCACTGCACATGCCCTCAGACCCCGCCCCTGCACTGCACATGCTCAGACCCCTCCCCTGCACTGCACATGCTCAGACCCCCCCTGCACTGCACATGCCCTCAGACCCCGCCCCTGCACTGCACATGCTCAGACTCCGCCTGCACTGCACATGCTCAGACCCCACCCCTGCACTGCACATGCTCAGACCCCGCCTGCACTGCACATGCTCAGACCCCGCCTGCACTGCACATGCTCAGACCCCCCCTACACTGCACATGCTCAGACCCCCCCTGCACTGCACATGCTCAGACCCCACCCCTGCATTGCACATGCTCAGACCCCCCCTGCACTGCACATGCTCAGACCCCACCCCTGCACTGCACATGCTCAGACCCCACCCCTGCACTGCACATGCTCAGACCCCGCCTGCACTGCACATGCTCAGACCCCACCCCTGCATTGCACATGCTCAGACCCCACCCCTGCACTGCACATGCTCAGACCCCGCCTGCACTGCACATGCTCAGACCCCGCCTGCACTGCACATGCTCAGACCCCCCCCTGCACTGCACATGCTCAGACCCCCCTGCACTGCACATGCTCAGACCCCCCCCTGCACTGCACATGCTCAGACCCCGCCCCTGCACTGCACATGCTCAGACCCCCCCCTGCACTGCACATGCTCAGACCCCCCTGCACTGCACATGCTCAGACCCCACCCCTGCACTGCACATGCCCTCAGACCCCGCCCCTGCACTGCACATGCTCAGACCCCGCCTGCACTGCACATGCTCAGACCCCGCCTGCACTGCACATGCTCAGACCCCCCCCTGCACTGCACATGCTCAGACCCCCCTGCACTGCACATGCTCAGACCCCACCCCTGCACTGCACATGCTCAGACCCCGCCTGCACTGCACATGCTCAGACCCCGCCTGCACTGCACATGCTCAGACCCCACCCCTGCACTGCACATGCTCAGACCCCGCCTGCACTGCACATGCTCAGACCCCGCCTGCACTGCACATGCTCAGACCCCACCCCTGCACTGCACATGCTCAGACCCCGCCTGCACTGCACATGCTCAGACCCCACCCCTGCACTGCACATGCTCAGACCCCGCCTGCACTGCACATGCTCAGACCCCCCCTGCACTGCACATGGTCAGACCTCCCCTGCACTGCACATGCTCAGACCTCCCCTCTGCACTGCACATGCTCAGACCCCGCCTGCACTGCACATGCTCAGACCCCCCCTGCACTGCACATGCTCAGACCCCCCCCTGCACTGCACATGCTCAGACCCCGCCTGCACTGCACATGCTCAGACCCCCCCTGCACTGCACATGCTCAGACCCCCCCTGCACTGCACATGCTCAGACCCCCCCCTGCACTGCACATGCTCAGACCCCCCCTGCACTGCACATGCCCTCAGACCCCCCCTGCACTGCACATGCTCAGACCCCACCCCTGCACTGCACATGCTCAGACCCCGCCTGCACTGCACATGCTCAGACCCCCCCTGCACTGCACATGCTCAGACCCCACCCCTGCACTGCACATGCTCAGACCCCACCCCTGCACTGCACATGCTCAGACCCCCCCTGCACTGCACATGCTCAGACCCCCCCTGCACTGCACATGCTCAGACCCCCCTGCACTGCACATGCTCAGACCCCTCCCCTGCACTGCACATGCTCAGACCCCGCCTGCACTGCACATGCTCAGACCCCCCCTGCACTGCACATGGTCAGACCTCCCCTGCACTGCACATGCTCAGACCTCCCCCCTGCACTGCACATGCTCAGACCCCGCCTGCACTGCACATGCTCAGACCCCACCCCTGCACTGCACATGCTCAGACCCCCCCTGCACTGCACATGCTCAGACCCCCCCTGCACTGCACATGCTCAGACCCCCCTGCACTGCACATGCCCTCAGACCCCCCCTGCACTGCACATGCTCAGACCCCTCCCCTGCACTGCACATGCTCAGACCCCCCCTGCACTGCACATGCCCTCAGACCCCGCCCCTGCACTGCACATGCTCAGACCCCGCCTGCACTGCACATGCTCAGACCCCACCCCTGCACTGCACATGCTCAGACCCCACCCCTGCACTGCACATGCTCAGACCCCCCCTGCACTGCACATGCTCAGACCCCCCTGCACTGCACATGCTCAGACCCCCCCTGCACTGCACATGCTCAGACCCCCCCTGCACTGCACATGCTCAGACCCCCCCTGCACTGCACATGCTCAGAACCCCCCTGCACTGCACATGCTCAGACCCCCCCCTGCACTGCACATGCTCAGACCACCCCCTGCAGGACATCAAATAACACACTCAAACTTATTCCTCTGGAGGTAAGTTCCTCCCTCTCCTCCACCCTCCTCCTCCTGCTCCCTCATCTTCTCTTCTGTCCTTCTGTGAGGGTGTTCTCCTCTCCTTATTTTTAGGAGGTTTGACTCCCATATGCTGATATGTAGTTTAGGATTTTTTTTAAAGTATCCTGTTTCATGCTGTTTGAGCTTTTTAGATCTGCAGCTTAGGGTCTGTTGATTTAGAAGGTTTCAACCGTTATCACTTCAAATGTTTTGATTTGTTCTCTTTGTCCTTTTCTGATATGATGATTGTACATATAAATGTATGTGTTAGAGTTTTTCAGTTCTCTTGATAATAACTGGACAGCTATCAAGGTGTGAAGTGACACCACATCGTCATTTTATTTGCACTTACCACCAGCATGGTTGTGTCCGTGTAATAAAGACACTATAACAGGTCCTGCAGCTATCACTGTACCCAACAGCGAAAGCAGGGGCTTTTCCAATAAGACCAGGAACAGAGCAATAATGTCTAACTTAACCACTTTTCTCTGATGTAATCTGAGACAGCTCAAGCCTCACACTCGGAAAGCCGGTGGCAGGGTGGTGGCTAGGTCAGGGCGGCTGTGCAGACAAACATGGAGGAAGCTGGTGGAGGCCTGGTGATGACTGAGGAGCAGGCGGGAGCCGCAGTGGGGGAGGCGGGACACCCAGGGACACAGCAGCACTGTGGCCCTGGCCCTGGGCTGGTGTGGAGAACAGTGGAGCCAGGAGGGTCTCCAAGCCCAGCCCTGCCACGCGGAGCTCTGCCAGAGCCGCCGATCAGCACGTGGTGATGCAGTCAGTGGATGAGTGCGGCCAGCATTTCTCCGGATCTTGGTGAAGGAAATGGAGGCCTGGGCAGAGGCCAGATCCCCAGGTGACCAGGGCTGCCCTGGCCCTGAGCTCACAGGACCACACCTCCGAGTATGTGTGAACCTCTCACAAAAACGCTGCCTTATTAAATTAAAAGCCCTAATTTCTGGGTGAACACTCACACATTTGGGGACACAATATCTAATTATAGACACAATAGAGATGTATATTAAAATGCAAGTAAAAAATAGTGTTGTGGGAAGGAAGGAGAGAAAAGCAGATATAAAGAAACAGAAAGGGAGAGTCAAGGACAGAGACACAAAGAGATAGAGACACAAGGGTAGGGAAACATCCATGAAACTCGTCCAAAGGCAGAGACACAGAGACACGCAGAGAGACACAGAAAGGCGGCACAGGCAGGCAGGATAGAAAAGCACAGAGTAGGAGAGTCAGGACAGAGACGTAGAAAGACAGAGAGAGATGCACACAGAAGTGGGGGTTTCCATTCTCCCCCTGGGAAGGAGGGGTACGTGGGGAAGATCTGGTTACTCCGCGGTCTCTGCTCTTCCTTTAGTGTTTTGCCTCAGGGGCGGGGCAGCTGCCCGAGGAGCGTCTATTTAGGAGAGCAGTTGGAATGTGAGAGGGCTCCCTTCAGATCCTCCAGCAAATTGAGCGCGCGGAGCTCCCCTGCCTCTCGCTCTAAGGCACAATTAAGTGCCAGCAGGACCCCCTGTGAGAGTTCTGGAGAATCTGAGACTGGGCTGGAGCAGAGCCTACTCGTGTCTGATTTAGCGTAATTATCCCAACAGCTGATGGCGGCTGACACATGAGTCCCTGCTTCCCACGAGAAGCTGACAATGTATGTCTCCTCGGCT